TGCTAACGATACCTTACAAATACTTTGAGTTGATGCGAACTCGACAACACGAGGGTGTCTTGTCGTAGCATCTGATAAGTCGGAAGTCGTGGTTTTTGTCGAAGTCCTGGAACAGCTTGCACTGAAGTCTGTTGGAGATAGATGTGGATCTTGAGATGGAATTTGCGATGGTGAAGACGCATTCGCTCTAGTGGCTTCTGGTGTTCAGATAAATGCCGGCTGAAGACGGTCGATACTGACGACGACTTCTTTTTTGTTGACCAAAATTAAAAGTTTTTTCGTTTCGAGCTAGCACTTGATGTGGCCCTGAAAATTTTGGTGCGAGAGAAGGCTTTGAAGCATCACATCTGAGAAAAACACAAGATGCGTTTCTAAGTTCTTTATGCACGAACACAGTTTGTTTGCAATGTGCGTTGGCAGGACTGGTCGCAATTTTGACATGCTGATGCACGAATGTAACAGGATCTACGTTACATTTAGATGCATTGACTGAATGTACGAAATCCTCAGGCAAACGGAGATTAGTACGATATATCAGTTCGGCAGAAGAGGCATTTAGATCCTCTTTTAACGCTGATCGAAGACCTAGAAGTACAGTAGGTAACACATCAGTCCACTGTAATGCGGTATGGCATCGCATTGATTGTTTTAAGTAGCGATGAAATCTCTCGACAATTCCATTGGAACTTGGATGGTAGGGGCTGGTTCTCACTTTGTAAGTGTCCAAATACTTAGTGACGGGAAGATTTGGGACTCGAACTGACGCTCCTGGTCATTAGAAATCTGCTCCAGAACTCCAAATCGAGAAATCCAAACGGTGTAAAATGCCTTTGCCACGGTATCAGCTGAAATATCTACCAAAGGAACGACTTCGGGCCAGCGAGTAAATCGATCAATGCAAGTAAGAGTATAGGAATACCCATTAGAAGGCGGCAATGGCCCGATCAAGTCGTCGAGGTGCACGTGATTGAAGCGAGGTGAGGGCAAATTAAAATTTTTAAGTTGGCTGCTGGTGTGTCTGACAATTTTAGATCTTTGGCACTCCAAACACGAACATGTCCAATTGGCTATGTCTTTTTGCATGACAAGCCATATGAAACGTTGCTGTATCAGTTTCATCGAATCCTTGATGCCATGACGTGACAGACGATGCAACTGACTAAAAATGGCATGGCGAAACAAGTCGAAATCTTGAATCCTTAACATCACAATAAAGTGATTTTCCAGGTGACAGCTGCATAGACTGCAAGTTGAGATTGCTGGAAGATTTGCTTTTCAAGAGGGTTTGTAGTTCTGAATCACGGTGTTGTTCATCCGCAAGGGCAGCAAAGTTTATTGGCGAAGGAACGGCTAGTTCTCCAATATGAGACAAGGTGTCTGCAGCAATATTGTGCGAACCCTCAATTCTACATCTTGACACTCGAGAATAAAATACGATCTGTGTGTGTGTATAACGTATATCTGTTGAAAATTGCCCTATGAAGTTTAGGTGTCTCATTTGACAAGGAGAAGCTTTATCCGAACGCTGGTTTGTGATCTGTGAAGATCAGGAAAACGCGGTCCTCTAGCATATGTCGAAAATATTTGACAGCTTCATAAATTCCTAATAATTCGCGACCGTAAGTGGTATCTGGTTTGTGCTGGTGAGAGTTTTTTAGAAAAAGTATGAAAGTGGTCTCCATAATTCTTGATCTTTCTGTTGTAAAACTGCTCCTATACCTGTTGTTGATGCGTCAAAGTGGAGTGATAATGGTTTAGATGCTGAAGGATACTGCAAATTTGTTGCCCAAGTTAAATCATTTTTGCATTTTTGGAACGCTTCGGGAGATTCTGTGGTCCAGGTTATAACACGATTATCGTTTTTCTTGCTTCCAACCAAAAAAAGAATTTAGATGTGCTTGTATGGTCGCTGCATGAGGTGAAAAACGTCGATAAAAATTGAGCATAGCAAGAAATCTTTTAAGTCCTTCACTGTAGATGGTTCGGGCATATCGCGGATAGCGGTGACTCTGGAAGGGGTCGAACGCCATCAGCGGAAATTTCACGACCAAGAAAGGAATTTCTTGGTTGGCCAAAAATGAATTTGGAAGCATTAAGACTGACACCATACCTTTGAAAACGTTAAAAACTGTTCTCAAATGTGATAGGTGTTCTTGCTCTGAAGAGGAGGCGATTAAGACGTCATCAAAATAAGGTACACAAAAGTCGAGACCGATTAACACCTGATTCATGAAGCATTGGAACGTTTGAGCAGCATTGCATAAGCCGAAAGTCATGACCGGAAACTCAAATAGTCCAAAAGGAGTAATAACCGCAGTTTTTGGAATATCAGTTGGGTTAACGGGCACTTGGTGATACGCCCGCTCAAGATCAAGGGTTGTAAAAACAGCTTAAAACTTGCATACAGTCTTGAATGTGCGGGACTGGATAACGATCAGGAATTGTAGCTGCATTTAGCCGGCAATAATCGCCCCACGGGCACCAGTCACCATTTCATTTCCGAAATAGATGGTGTTCGGTTTAATATAACGCCCTCTAGGATCAGCGCCCTCTTGTGAGAGGAGCCAAATTTAGTTGAGTAGGTTGTTGAAGAAGGTACGCAGCGGACCTATGGTGCGTTCGTTCGTTCCACTTTGTGCTAATGGAGCACCTAACTTATAACCTTGTACATTATGTAAATAATTAAATATTCGTATGGCCTAACTTAGTTAGTTTTATTTTGGAACCAGCGCCAATTATCTCTCGTAACTCATAGCATTTTATATCAAACAGACGGAGTGGCAAATTCCCTGTTCCATCATGCATTGAAATTCCTCTTTGGCGGCTTTAAGCTCGTCCGGAGGTAAGCGTCTTGGTTTAGAGGCAATTGGAGGTCCCGTAGTTTCAATATAATGTAGTACATCGTGCTTGGCTTCGGAAATACCTATAACTGGGCGCGTGATTGTATGGAATTTTCTGAGAAGTTGATGCCACGGGGAGTTACCCGAAATCAGTTTAATGCTCAAATCTTGACTATTGCGAATTAGTCGCGCATAAGTTAAGTTGGTTGTGGAATCTATCAAACGGCGATTCTTAAGATCGACAATCAAAGAAAATTTTTGTAACAAGTGAGCGCCAATAATAGGAGTTGAAACAGTAGCAATAATGAATGGCCATTGGAAGATTCGGCGCAATCCTAAATCAACAGATATCAGGCGTTCACCAAAAGTTTGAATAGGTTCCATTTGCTGCATAAAGTTGTAACTTGGTAAGGCGCTTTTGTTCGTGAAATATCCTGGACCAGGAGCCTGCACTGCGTGTTATGCTCTGGAATGGCCAGCTCGTGAATTTTATCAGCGATTTCGGGTAGCTTTCTTAAAGTGACTCACTACTGGCCGCTAAAATGGGTTGCATGTTAGATGAGAGTCTATTCATCCATAATGTTTTAAGTATGTTATCCGTTAGGTTACCGGCGGCTCAGTCTGACATTTTAGACAGCAATTGAGAAGGCCTCATATCACAACAACTGTAAATCTTGCTACAGTTGCTTGAAACTGTCTCGAATTCTTCATAAACAGAAAATAATTTTTTTTAAAGATTTGTATTTGTCCGTCGCCGGTGGACTCAAAATTATTTCATGAGCTGGTTGCAGTACCTCTGATTCTAACGCACCGATCGAGTTTCGTCGGCAGTAATGTGACTCAATTTAATCTGCGCATCCAGTTGAATGAACCATAACGATGGGTCTCGGAGACAAAAAGGGGGTGGCTCAACTGCTACTCGCGTCAATTGTGAAGCAGCATCGTAGTCAATCAACTTTCTCATCGTTGATAATTTTAGATCAATCAAATATGCACAATAACAATATGTACAGAATATGCTATGTACAGAAAAATAATCAATATGTATAAAATATGCACAATAATAATATGTATAGAAAAATAATCACTATGTGTATAGTGACACAGTTTCTTGGTACTTTAAATCAGAAAAATTGGCAATTCAGCAGACAATACATATATCCGCTAAAATTATGACAGAAATATGTTAACTCGCCGGAAGGCAGCACAACACTTGAAATCACAGGTGAAATGTCTTATTTGCATCTCATCACACTGCATAACTTATTGTTGCTCAGAATTTTGACATACAAACTCCATGCTCGTGCAGCATTGAAGGTTGCTATTCGTAATAAATACAGTTTTTTGAGACAGATAATTACAAGCTGCTTTTAATATAATAATTTAATTTGTATTAAATGCCTTTTTGAACATAATAAATAAAGCGTGCTGGACAAACAACTGTGATCATAAAAACAGATCGTTAATCATATCAATCTTCTTCGAATTTTTATATTAACAATAGAATAACCATTATTTTTGTTTTTCGTTGCTATGAGTTACCAGACTGGCAGCGTTGAGTTGTAGTAGGCAGGTCGCCACAATAAGCAATAGATTAGGAATTTATTCCAAATATTAATTGCTGAATTTTTAAATATAACAGTTTTCTTAAAGCAGTTCTTTTACATAATAAGAATGAATATACTAATGCATAAATTTACTAACTTTTATTACACGTTACAAATTAAAATTTGTTATTAACGCTTAAATTTCCTTCAAAGTAGGTTATCCCCCCTTTCATAATGGTAATAAATATGCATGTGAACATGTTAGCCATTATGTACATCTAACTTTTAGATGAGGAGGGTTTTAATTCTAACCGAAATCCTCTCGGGTTTTCGTAGGAATTGGCGAAGTTGTGTTTAGATCTATTTTAAAAGCATTGCCACTGTGGAAAATTTCCATAGGAAACATTCATATCACATACGAGGAAAATCATGCAAACCCTATTTAGCTAGCCTTTTCAATTCCCAAGAAGACAACGTGAATTAAACAAACAGCATTTTATGACTTTAGCCATTAATTGGTCTTTTTATAGTATGATTTATTTCTTACAAATAGGAACATTACAAGAATTAAGCATTTTTGTATGAAGTGTTGACCAAAAATATATACAACAAACCCTTTTTATAATATTTTATTATACTGTTATTAATAGAGCAATAATACTGAACATGAATAAAAACAGCATAAATTTGAGTAAACAAGAATTAAATTACTTGTATGTGATTTCAGAGTAACAGTTTGAAATATGTCAGCAATTCATAACAAAAATTCTATAGCTTCTTAAAATATTACAATTAGACAAAAGTAATTTTGTTAGCGGATACTTAAAATTATCTAATTATCCACAGTTTTCTAAAATACTCAAATACAAAATTGCATTCATATCCGCAAAATAGTGTATAGTACGTCACTCCATTATCTCACATTGAAGACATTTTGAAAACAACAGCTTGTAAAATAGTACATCACTACAAAAAGTAATAACCTGAATTTAGTCCATAATTTTACAAATTACTTGAATGAAAGACCTTGTAATTTAAAACTTTTATATACAAAATTTTCTTGAAGTCTTGTCTTTTTTTTTTTTTTTTTTTTTAATAATGCAATGCTAAAGCAGAAAAGTTATTTTCTCATTACAGATTCTTTAAAAGCTGTCCTTTTTAAAACATTTAATTATATGAATCTTAAATATTAAAATAGAAAATCTATCAAATGTTTTAACAAGCTAAGTTAATGGCACATGACTTTATAAGGTATTTCTCCAACCTTCTTGGCGTGCCTTCGTAGTGTGGTTGTCTGTACGCTGGGCACCTTCATCGTACTGCATAGGTGTTTCATCAGAATTTATAAAGATCAAGCAAAGAGAAGTTATTGTCAGAGGTTAGTTACAGACCTTGTTATAAAAGAAAAATTGTTATTAGAATAAAAGAGTTCTAAAAATACATTTACAGTATGTACACTTTAGTTACATCTACGTATGTTACACACACACACACTCGCGTATCATATTTATATTATTTATACGTTATTTTATGTATGTTATTTATACTATTAATATTTTACATGTTTGAAACTATTCTTTAATGTTCTAATGATAACATATGCACTTATATGGTTTCATATACACTTATTGATATACATACACAAAAAATGTTCGTATGTTAAAAATGAGAGAGTGACACTACTTCGCGGTTTTTCACTTATCGCGGCCGGTTCTGGTCCCTAATAACCGCGATAACTGAGGGATGACTGTACTTTTTTTAACTTGCAAATTAGCAATAAATTCCAATCACTCAAAATCCAGTCGTTTCAATAAAATTTTTAACTTGATACGGCGCAATGCGTTAATAGATAATCAGAATACTTCTAGCAAATGAACAATTCCACTTTTGATTGCCTTTTCTGAAGGTTTGGTTGAGGTAAGAAAATTAAACTCAGGAGGACAGTAATTTTGTTGATCATATGTTAAGAATATGAGGAAATTTCCAGGATTACACTGTGGAGTACACTAAGTCGTATCTCTCTCGTGTCCAAAATTTCCAGTTATCCATAGGATTTTCAAAATTAAAAACCTTAAACATTTTTTATTTAAATCCAAATTTCAGTACCATAAAAAATGAAAAAAAAAAATTGAATTCCTCTTATGCATGATCCACCACAAAAATATATCACAAAACAAGTTTAAAATCATATATGTATGTACTAATGATTTCAAAAACAATCATCTCAAATTTTGAAAATATAATGCATTTTGGAAAGGAAATCTCAAAGGATTTTTGCAAAAATCAGATAAATCACATAATAAATTTTGGAGAAAGAAATCAGAGATTTTTTGTAAACTAAAAATAAATAATGAAAGATAATTTTGTTTTTTTTCATTAAACTTTATTTTACCTTACGGTAATATAATCTAATGATCTGCGATTTCCAAACCTTTCTTTACTTACTATTACTTTCTCTTTCTTCCTTTATTTTACTTACTATTACTTTCTTTTTCTGTTCCGTAACTAGAAGTAAACAGAAAAAATCCCTTTTTGTCCTGCAGCAAAATTCCCTGTGCGGGTTACAACACTTATCAGGGTTACCATGATCTGGCACAAATGCGCTCTATCCTGATGTCAACAAAGCCGAAATTTTGCAAAGTGTGGCTTACGGAAATATATTAAAGAATTATTTTTCATATTTATGCAATAAAATGCACAATGAAGAACAAGCTGTTGACCAACCAAATAAAATTGGTTTTTTTCAAAATAGAATCAACGCTCAACCGGAAATTTGTCAGCATAGTTATTAGATATATTTTAAATAAATTCAAATGAATGAAGCACAATGTGTAAATTTATGAAACATGGCACTAAAATAAATCCAAAGAAAACTTACAAATCCTACTTAGTTCAGAATGGCACAACCAAAACGTAACATCACCCAACCCATACTGCTACCTAAATACAGCTGCCGAAAGCTGACGCCAAGTGGGAATTTACTGGTTTCTAATTTCTATCAGTTTGTTTCAACAGCTCAGAAAATCTTTTAACTCTTTCGATTTCTTCCCCATTTCCCTTCGTGAAGATCTACAAACAACGCCATTCTTTGACCAATAAGGTGCATCGAATTTGAAAAAAATCACATTACGCCCTTATTTTAAATCACTAGTAGTACTGTATGCATACTTATTTGTCCGACATTTTGCATATGATCTATTAAAACTAATAATTTTTATCGGTAAGTAAAAACTTCTATTCGAATGTTCTTCATATGTTTTAATATCTTTAGCTGTTTTCACGAACATCGGATAGTACATAATAAATCTCCATGCATACTGTAATACTATGATAATAATAAGTTTTTATTGGATATCTGTATTTGTTAGTCTTAGTGTGTATATATCATTAATTTTTCTATCCGAGCGAATTTCGTCAAAGCCATTATATGAATACTTTTCGTCTAATTTCTATTCACCTGATATGTCTTGCGAATTAATAGGTAATGATGGCATAGAAATTAACAAAATAAAAATAAATAACTGAAAAATAAATTACTCGTGCAAAGAACGATGAGTGATACTACATCATGCAAATGTGATCAGCAATGAACATGGCAGATAATTGAGCAAGGAATTAATTAATTTCCCGAGGCGACGGTGCCGTTTTGTTATCTGACATCAATAGTTTTAAAAAAGATGAATCATTAATCATAATTATATAAATCATTCAGTAAAAAATGATGAACTCAGGAAGAAAAAGAATTAATGACACCTAAAAAAAAAAATCGGCTTAAGTGCAGAATCGCCCACTTATTTGTTTGGCGCTTTTTACAAGAGTAAGAAGAATTGGATTTTTGTCCATTTTCTTTTTAAGTGAAAATAGATCGATGTGTACATGGATAAAGTCAAGAGTGTGCGCAATGCTGTTTTTGTGCAATTCTGGGATGTTTTTTAAAGTGAAAATAGATTGACGTGTACATGGATACCGAGTATGTGCAATTCTTAAAAGCGCTCCAAGCAGTGGGTGATTCTGCACTTTCCCTAAAAAATCAAAAGATAAACAGTGGCAACCATATTAAACTCAGTGTCTTAATCTCGTTGTTATTAAGGTCATCATAAATTATAACTGTTGGATTATTCCAATAAAAGCAAGAAATTTTCATGTTCCATCATCCAGATGATTTCATAAAATGTTACAAAAATGTTGGCAACTTAATGCAAGTAAGCAACTGGTTGGCAAGATGAAGATTTTCACAATCTTGATGAGGGTGGCTCTCTTCATGAGCTTCATTAAGGGGGTCGGCACATATGTGCCTTTATGTCAGGGACCCTTGTATGTTGGCAAGCAGCAGCTAACCTCGAAAAGGTGTCACCACTTTTGGGTAAGTTGACAGTTGTTTGCTAATACTGAAATCTTCACATAGATGTCCTGTCAACCTTGATGAAGGTTCCTTTTCTCGTGATACCAAGCTTCCCAATGATGTTGGTGTATTTGTGGTATGTGATGTTTTTTCATCCATGATAACTCTCATATCAAACTCCCCAAACTGTTATATTTTCTAGTTTTAAGCTTTCTGTATTAATTTACAGGAAGTGTTATTTCACTTGAAGTCCATTGCAGTGTTGTAACAATAAACATAGCACATTGTTACATGTATAAACCATAATATATAGCAGTTGACTGAGAATTGCTTCCTGATACCTATATATCTCTTAGATATATTTGCTGATCAAAATGAATTTAGATTTATTGATATTATAGAAATAACACAGGAAATTAAATTATGGTACAGTCAAAA